CGGTTAGATGAAAACGATTGATATCTCCGAGAGAAATGAGAAAATAAATTAATATAATATCATTCGTCTATTGTTATTATCATCTCTTGTGGAAAATATATATCTTCTTGTTGTTATACGATTCATGAATAAACTATTATTATTTGTATTATGTCAATTGTGCGCAAGTATTGATAAGTTTTATGAAAATAATGATAACAATCTACATTAAGTGTCATTTTAGTTATGTTTAACCTGTTGGGATAGAACGGACATATTTTAGTGCATTTCACGTTTTGATTGCTAACTGAATGATATCGGTAATTTTTTGAATAACGTCCAGAACGAAAAGAGATAGTGAACTCGGGCTTTTCACTATTCTGTAGAAAAAACTATCTTATCATATATTTAGTGTTCAAAATTTTGGTTTTTTAATTCGCATATTCGACGAATACAGAAAAAATAAGACTACCACTTATAGAAACCGACTTCACGTTGGACTTGTTCTAGTTAAGAAGTTCGAAAACACCCTAAACACATACGCTCTAGCCCATGAAGGAAAAGAAATTGTGAACAGGATGGCTGCATCTAGATTAAAGGCATAACCGGTTATAAATCTACTTTTTAATCTAGCTAATCTGGACGGAGATGGGCGGCGCTATTTTTGCAGTTAGAATTTTTTGCTTACTTTTGCTTGGCTAAAGAGCTGTCGGATTTTCGACATATCACTGCAGCTAGTCTCGTGATTTTTTCGAGTTCGCCTCCATACCATTTACTACTATAGTCTAGCTTACTTAAAATACCTGATCTAAAATTCGCTAGCCGAATTTTTACTGACGCTTCTGTAAAAGTTCGAAACATAAGGTAAATCACTACGTAAATCACATCACGTTCACAGGAGGTAAATCTCTAGCATGCTCTCCCCATGATAAATTTGAGCTTAGCCGAACTCCAACCAGCACTCACTACTGACGTTTCTCGCTTAATCACGGTTTCATGAATAGTAAAACTAAAATGATCGACGCCTAACTGCTGGTGATTTGTAAAGTATATCCACGCACAATTTGAATAGTTTAATGTCCTGAGATTTAACTGGTACCATCCGAATATTTTGTATATAGAAATTAGCAGTCCGCTGGAGAGCACAGAACGCTCGTCGGATATAACAACGAGCAGGCGACGGTAAAATGAATGGATAGAGCTGGCAACGCTGTTATCATCAGAAGATCATTTATAAAGATCAGAAACAAAATAGAAGCCTGTGGCATTCTGGATGGAACCCTCACTGCGTCCGAAAACGCTCGAAGTGCAAAGATTTATGTAAATTAGGATGTTATTTAACATTAGATCAAGCTCTAATATTAGTCGATTTTGCTGCTCCATGTACGGTCAAAGTCAATAATTCATGTTCAAACATGGGAACAGATTATTCAAATTGATATAAGATGTTACGGTGTATAGCAACCAATCGATATGGCAGTTTTTGAACGTGAAAACTATTGTCCGTTTCAGAATCGAGTATGTGCGGTTGCACGTGGAATAACTCGTGAACGGAACCAGCTATCAAGCTGCGGTCTTCACCACCAGAAACAGAAGACAGAGGGATCTTGAGAAAAGCGAATTTTCTACAATCAAGAAAATCGTCCTTGAATTTCTATAAATAATTTCCAAGAATCTGGAAATTCCTCTTTGATCCCTGACTCCTGACATAGGCAGAATTGTGATCTAAAGTAGAAACTGTCAAAGTTGATTTAAGTGTAATATGAGCGTCTTTACGTGACGCTCTTATACCTACACTGGTTGCAAAACAAAAAGATGAATAAGTATTTGGTCTAGAAATTCCTGGGAGAATTTCCACTTTCTAGAAAATCGCCGAGAATTTTCTAGTTTATAGAAAATCAAAATCGAATTTCCAGATTCTTGGAAATTGTTTATAGAAATTCAACTGATTTTCTATAAACTACAAAATCGCCCGCGATTTTCCAGTTTAAAGAAAATCCTCAGTGATTCCATAGTGGCGTATGAATGTGACAGACATAGTTACATACAGTGACTAATGAGTGTGACAGACGTACATACACAGAATGACTAATGAGGGTGACGGTATTCATTCTACTTGCATGAATCAATGTGATTCAGGTTATTTATACTTTATACGTTGTCGTATACCGCTATAAAAAATCTTGAGAAATACTTCAGGTATAACTTATATAGAGAAAACGCTGTATTAAACGCTGTATGAAATACTCAATTTTAGAACTTCTAGGAAAATGCTTGTAACTTTTTGATGCAAAGTCATACAGAGTTGTGCGAGGTCTTGTTTCGATCAGAAACGTTTGCTCTACAAATCTGTGTGTGTAGAAAAATTTTAATTGCATTAGTGTCCAGGAAAAAACTATTATTTGAAGATCCGGTTTTTCGAGGCTCCTAGAAAACTTGCTCAAAATCCGCGAAATACTCAGCTTTTTTTTTTCAGCTATTGCTAGTTGATACCGTCATTTTCCGTCTTTCTTGTCATCGTATCTCAAGAGTGTGCGTATATTGTCACTAATCCTTTTGTACCGACAAATCTTTTTCTTCAACCACCTAAATATTTTCTGTAAAGCCTGGTAGTGTTCTATACGTAAGAAATGAAACATGCATCATCATAAATAAAGCAGAGAAGAGAGAGAAAGAGTTAGACTTTTGTGATGTTCTCACCTGCTAAAGCCTAAAGTCAACTTTTCAAAGCAAACTTTGTTCCGAATTGGTAAAGGAAGGAAACGCTTTGGCCAAACACTCAAAAAATATTTTGTGTTGGGCCATAGCCCAATGGCCTCCCCCAGTGTGCATTTTTCTATAAATAAGGTGGACATTTGCTATAGCAGCAGTCGGAAAGCCTATAAACATTTTTTTATAGGTTTTCAGATATGCTCTTTCCAATGGTGTGTTTTTCAAAGTTCAAAGAGACTTTCATCTGGGTTCTCCAGAGACCGAGTCTCTAGAAAACCCTTGCATAAGTATTCTGGAAATTTTTAAAGTGCACCATTGAAACGAGCCTATCTGAAAACCTATAAAAAAATGTTTACAGACTTTTGGACTGCTGCTATAGCAAATATCAACATCCTTAGCCAAAACTATGACTCTATGCTTCGACTTTAGCGTTTCGTTAGATCCAACTAGTTTTTGCTCAGAAGGACCTACAAATCGCATATCATTCGATGCAATTTCTTGCGCTGATTCCGAATATGTTATTTTTGTTGAATAAAAACGTTTCTGAACCGAGAAAAATGGAAAATACCTGAAAAACTCAGGTTTTTTGGAAAACCCGCTGTATGCTTCAGAAACATTTGCGCATTTTTGCGCATTCACTATAGATGCAGGACATATAGGAGAAAATTTTGTGAAAGTTTGCTTAAATTTTCACCTTCTCTAACTTTCGCGCGCTCACGTTACTAAACTTAGACCTTCGGAAAATCGCTTGAGAAAAACTTCTTTTAATTTTCTCAACTATCATAAGTCCAATTTAAAATTTTTTTACTAATCTATAGCTGATGCCATGCAGATTTAGAGTATATGTCGTTTTTGATTACAGCTTCATTGACTGCTGTGAAGATTTCATTTTTCGCACCGATATTACTATTTCAGGCTAATTTTTGATTGACTGATTTTTCACGCTACATAAGCTTTATAACAAAACATTTTATGCCATCAGATAGAGCATGTTTCGAAGTATATTTATCGCTATTTGAATCATTGAAAACTCGATTTTCGTTTTTCTACCTAATGTCCGCCTGGATGCACACTGTGCCTCCCCCCCGTAGTTACATCTATGCTACAATGTATATTCAAGTGCTTCTACTTAAAAGCTTGAAACAAAGAAGGAATAATAAAAGAATACATGTATTGTAATAATATAAGAATATATACATTGTAATTTACAGTACCTGTTTTATTTTGTTTCGAATAATGGTAAAATCTGTATTTTACTTAAAATACAATAAATAACGTGAATCAGGTCGATTCACTCTGTCCATTGACTATAAGTCGATTTTATTGTAGCGTGGCTAAGGACCACCCAACTGCACAACAACTTCCCTTAGCCACCCGAGCTTACTATATTTTTCATATACTGTTCCGCAGACACTACACTATAATGTCTACTGTCTAGTTGAGAATAGATCTTTTAAAGGTTGCGTATTGCACTCTCATAGTTGTGGGTGTCTAACCTACATATCGAAGTCAGTATCTGAAAAACAAGAGAACAACGGAAACCAAGTCAAAATACATCTCGACCAACAGGGTTGCTCCTAAATCTCACTCAAAGTCATTATTTTACGCCTCTCAATCTCGCGACAACTGAATGCATCGATAAATTAAACCATCGACATTTTCAATATACTACTCCACAATCATCCGAACACCGTTCCTAACAAATTAAGATCCGATGATCTGCAGTAGGTCAGCTAGTGGTCTAGTTTTCGTTGTACTATCGGTCCGACGTAACGCTCGTCTGCAATATGACAGTTTTTCACACTGTCGGTCCTTCCATGCATATACACATCAGCTAGCGTTCTTTTGCACTCGGTCGGTCTATGGCTTTAGAAACTTATACCTGCGAATGACCTTCGATAACTTTGAATCAAAGAAAACGCTCACACCTCCCTTCGGTCGGTGTTCGTTGGGAAACTGACCACAATATGTTATGGAATGTGTGTATGCACGACTACTCACAATATGTGTGTATGTAACACAATGTTCAAATGTATGTGTGTATGCATGTTCAATTCAAGATATAAAAGTAAGTTTTGTCCAACGATTTTTTCGAACAACAAGCTCTAAAGTAGTTATCAAAAAAGAAACGTTCCAAATAACTAATGGTACACTCGATTATCCTTCAACTGATCTTCATTTGACGATATGTTTGTGATCTTGATTAATTACATACAGTAATTACATCTGTTACTTGTGTATTTTTTTATATCTGTTTGTATCTTAATTTTGTCTTTAGAATTTTGAATTTTTCAATAAAAAAGTCTCATTTAGTCTCTTTCACATATTTCGGCACATTCCATAAAATTATAATACTGTTCTAATTTTGAGGTTTCTTCATTCATGCCATCTTTTTGACTTGTACCACTTTTGACTGTGTATGTGTTGCATGTACCTATCAAAGACGATGTGATACCAATCTATTTGTTTTCTTATTCAAATTAATATTATCAAAGAGAAAATCTAAGTTTAAAAAAAACTTACCGTCGAGTGAACCGGATACCATAATATCTAGTTCAATCGATATAGCTACACATGTTATTTCAGCATCATGTCCATACGGTATATTTATTGGTACTAATGTTAAACTACACTATTTTTATTTGTTAGCGTCGTTATTGTCATTCCTTGAACGTGACAAATGATGGATATTTTATCTTTTGAACCGGAAACAAGGATAGTCCCGGTAGAATCTAATGTTAAACATGTAACGATATCAAGATGTTTGATTACACTTGAAATAATTTTATTTTTCAATACACTATAAACACGTAAACTAAAATCTCAATGATCACCACTAAACAAATATTTGACATCGTGACTAGTAGAAGATAATTTTGATGTTATTTCAAGATCAGGAACAAATGAAACTGGACTTTACTTTCCTTGTACTTTACATCCGATAAGTATTTGCTCTTTCGTTTTGGATGTTCTTCGAATAATAGTTTCGATGGTATCTGACCAAAATTTTGAATCATGTCCAGATCATTGGTTACGATAGCCATATATGGAGAATAACGTATTTGTAAAACGATTTTACAGCCGTTTACGGGCCGTGTTGAGTCACCTGGGTGCCTTCAATTGCTTGCCTCGTTATTTGATCTTTAATAGCATCGACATCAATGACTTTCTCGTACAAACAATACATGAATACATTATAAGTATCAATTGCTTCTTGATCCTGCTGTTTATAACCAAAAATAAGATCAATCCATTCATTTAAATAAATTTATTCCGGTATTAACTCTTTTACATCATTTGGACTATCAAGAATATTTAGCTATTAACTATCAAATGAATGAAATCGGCGACGTAGAATCTTAGAGAAAATCAAAAATTGATATATATATAACTTATATATTAAACTTAAAAGACAAAAAAGGACTATCTACTTTCCACTTTGTAATTGAATATGTAAAGTAGTAAATGGTTCCATTCTTATCAGATAATGGATAACACTGGCCGCATTTGAATAGTGGGTACGGTACGGTACCATAATGAAAATTTTTCATGACTCCAGATGGATCATCAAATGACACTTTTCATAACGTAATGATATTAATTTCTGATAGATTTGTCGACGCGTTTTTTTATCAAAATTTAATAAAAAAATTGTTTGATCAATTAAAAAAAAATTCAAGTGTCAATGATCGTAAATTGTAACGTCTCAAATGAATATCTTGTAACCAGTGAAGTGGATATTTTAAATCATTTTTATTTGACGAGATAGAATCAAAAAAATACACATGTTTATTTGTTATTTTGAATATACCTAAAATAAAAATAGAAAAAAAAATAATAGAAAATGATGGTTTATAATGAATAAATTAAATAGAAAATTATCCTCAATTACTGATGTAATTGTTATTAGCGAACATTTATAACCAATTACTGTTTTTTCTTTTTTTATCAGATGGTAGTCAGTACTTGTCTCATGACTATGTGTATGTACGTCCGTCACAGTCATTAGCTACTATGTGGATGTAATTTATTTCGTATACTCATAGACTTACAGTCAACAGAATAAACAATTTTTTGTAAAATATAGTAAAAAAATTTTTGAATTGATACAGATATAAAAGTAAGTTTTGTTGCCTCATATTAGTGGATTGTGTTAAGAGTGATGTGTCCTAGAATGATTTTATGGATACGTATTCTCATATGCGAGTCAGTAGTTGTCTCCAAAATCTAACCTACGATGCAAAAGTAATTAGACAAAGCGACTCTCTATTTTTCTTGTGAATAAAAGGTTGTAAAAAAAATCAGAAAGTGTTATTTAGAATCTGTATTTAAAGTACTTCCTAAATACGCGTTCAAAAATTTTGTATCACTTGTAGTCTCGGAGCAGTGAATGGCTCTATGAAACACAGAAACTTACGAGTGGACCTCGCGAACTGTCACATCGATTTTTCAGCCAAATCTAGTGGATTATAGATTATCAACTATGCTGAACCTGAATATCATAGTGGTAGCTATACAGAGGCCTTAAGAAAGCCAGTTTTTCAGAAACTCTAAAAAGTAACCAAAACCTTTCTTAATGAACCATGATTGTAGCCTGCAAATTTCTGATTAAAAATTCGACATTTTCCAGTTCTACACGACCTTTCTTTACAAAATTATAGAATTTACAAGAAATGCCCTAAATTAATTTCTTCTTATTTCTGTAGCTTTGAGCTAACAATGAACATTTAGGGCTTTTCTTGTAAATTGTATAACTTTGCAAAGAAAGATCGTGTAGAGCTGGGAGATGTCGAATTTTAATCAGAAATTTGCGGGCTACAATCATGCTAAATTAAGAAAGGTTTTGGTTACTTTCTAGAGTTTCTGAAAAACTGGCTTTCTTAAGGCCTCTGTATAGCTACCACTATGATATTCAGATTCAGCATAGTTGATAACCTATAACTCACTAGGTTTGGTTGAAAAATCGATGTGACAGTTCGCGAGGTCCCCTCGTTAGTTTGGAAAGAGAAAAAGATGGTATTTTCTAGAACGTGTAATTTTTCTGTGCTGCCTACTAAAATGTTTTTGACCACATAAGATTCTAGAACTGACAATTCTCTGCAAATTGAGATGTTGAAATAAGATACACGACAAACGGCTAGAAGTTCATAAGAAAAATGGAGATACGCTTTGTCCAATTACTTTTGCCTTGTAGGTTATACAAAATCAAATTAGTTTGTCTTTTTTTCTTCTTTATTAATATACAATGTCAAATTGTCATAACCAAACAAAACAGCTCGCACTCTAAAAAAAAACCGTATTCTAGGAAACATTTAACTGGTTTCCGAAAATGAAACTATATGAAACGCTTATCCGTTTCCGAAGAAAGGGTTTCCGAACTCTTCTAAACCTTTTTCTGCTTCGGAAACCCATTTTATTCCCTTTCGACTTTTTCCTCGGAAATCGTCAAAAAAAGGTTTCTGAACTCTCGAAAACGCTTATCCGTTTCATATAGTTTCATTTTCGAAAACCGTCAAAAAAGGTTTCCGAACGGATTTCCTAAAAATACTTAACTATCTTACCTGTTTTACAGTTAGCATAAAGTAGCATAAAATGTTCCGAACTGGAGTTACAGGTTTTCCAAAAATTCTTGGTTTTTTGAGATATTTTAGGTTTTTCTCCTGCTTAGAAACGTTGGAAACAAAGACTAATAATATATTCGGAATCAGCGCAAAAAACTGCGTCGAATGACGTATAATTCATCTCGTTTTGGTGGCTAAATTTTCAATTCTACAATTTTCTTAGATTTTGGGATTCACACAAACAATTTTCTGCTAAAAATTTAAAGTTCAGGATAAAACAAACGAAACGCTCCCAAGCATGTTTTCTATAGGTTTTCGACAATGGTCTTTCCAGCGGAATGATTTCGAGTAACGAAACAGTTTTCAAGATGGTTTTCCAGAGACCAGATCTCTGAAAACCCTCTAGAAAACTTTTTCGTTACTCAAGAACCATGCTATTGAGAAGAGCATCATCGAACACCTATGGAAAACTGGTATAAATAGTTTTTGTCTACTTCTAGAGTTGATGTCCGTATGCCTAGCCATTTTTCACTTTTCCTCTAAAATTTATTTTGTATTCTTGTATTTTTGACACTTAAACCTTTTCATTTAGTCCACTGGCCGATCCTTACTTTTTCTACTGCATTCGTGTGTAATCCTTGCAAAATCCATATTTTACTATCCTGTGCAAGCCACTGACCAAAACATCATCAACCAACAAAATGCAAGCCATAAAGTCAACAGTAGTAGCATCAGACACTTCTAAAACGTCATCTCCTACTCATTCAAAAACCAGTGAGAATGAGAATACAGAACAAACATCTTCGACAATTACAGTTTCGCTACATCCAGTGCCACCAACAACTTCTCCTCCTCAGAGAACACCACATGATGAAAGCAAAGAGAGTGTAACACTCATCTGGTTTGATACCAACATCGATTCGAATGAAGGTGCAAAGCGAACAATGAAAATGCTGAGAGAAGTCAATGTTTTCGTCATTTGCCACACACCCATGTGTTGACCACGTCAGACATTTCCAGAATGAACAAGTATTTGCTGTGACATCAGACATACATGCCAAAGATCTTCTTCCTCATATCTAGATTCTCTCTCAAATCGATTGCATTTTCATTTTTTGCATGAACCGAGACAAATCTCTACAAGACGAATCCTCGAAAATCATCACACTGGTCGCTTCATACGAAGAACTCATCGAATCCATCAAAAAGAATGCTGGAATAGGTGAGAAACTAATGGAGTCATTCAGCTTCTATACGCACCAGAAGTGGACTTGTGATTTATCCGAAGAAGTAGTGTACTATCTTTGGTTCGAGCTGTTCAAAGACCTCACCATGCAAATGCTACCTGATCATCATGGCAAACAACAGATGATTCAGAAGTGTCAAGAATACTATCAAGGCAACAGGAAACAACTGAAACTTATTCAAAAGTTTAAAGACTCCTACCAACGCGATGACGCCATTTGATGGTATACAAAATCGTCATTTGTTTATAACTCATCAATGAAGTACTACGAACAGAAGATATTGAAGAGCTGTATTCGTTTCGATTCTTCATCGTGGATCTTAGTTCGTGTCTTGCACAAGAATATGAAAAAATGAAACAGCGAGAAGAGAATGTGCTTCGAGTCTATCGGGGCGTGCGTTTATCCAGTAAGGAATTTGAGAAGCTAAAAAAGAATGAAGGTAAAGTGCTTTCGATAAATGGCTTTCTCTCAACTAGTGGCTATCGTGACGTGGCTGTGCAGTTTGCGGGTGAATCAGCAAACCTTCCAGATGATGTTGTAGTTTTGTTTGAGATCGAGTATAATCTGAGTGAGCTGAATGATGCTATTGTAGTAGTTGACATTAGTCACATCAGCCATTTCCCTGAGGAAGCGGAAGTGTTGTTTGACTTAGGTGCGACATTTCCACATTAGTACTATTCGTCGAGCAGAGTCGAATGTTTGTGTTGTAGAAATGAGAGCGACGGGTAAAGGCAGAGAGATTGTACAAGAGTATATTGCACTGAATAGAAAAGCGTTGAAGTATGATCGTGCTTCGAATATTATTCAAAATCTCTTGAAAAAAAAGAAAAATGTTTCCCACCTGATCACCCACACATTGCTAACAGCATCAGTAACATTAGCACTATTTACCAGAGCAAAGGCGAGTATGATCTTGCTTGGAATATTATTCGAAATCTCTCACAATAAGAGAAAAATGTTTGCCACCTGATCATCCAGACATTGCTACCAGTCCAAGTAATATAAGCCATGTTTATAAGAGCAAAGGTGAGTATGTTTGTGGTGTAAAGTATTTTAAGCGGGCCTTGACGATGGGTGAAGAGCATCTTACTGTGGGATATCCTTAACGAATGAGAGTGAAAAACAATCTTTCAGAAGTAAAGAAACGTTTATAAAAGATTTAAAGCGTGTTACGGGAGTTCTTTTTTGTATTCACTTGTACAGGCTTTTTTTATAGTTTTTTTATACCTGATAGTAACTTCTATTTAGGTCTTGTTTTGGATTTTTAGTGTGAGGTGGTGATGACAGGTTGACGCTATATATCTGAATGGTATAGAGAAAATAGAAAAAAGAATGCGAAGTATCTTTAGTTGAGAGGATAACATGTCGTATAGTTTAACATAGGTGAAAAAACGTGTGAATCGGACAACTTCGAGATAAGGTAGATTTTGCTTTTGTTAAATTTATTTGGTACCATATAGAGTCACTGTTAAGGGTTTAAGACGGGTTCAGAATAGTGCAAAAATACGATTCTGTCGCTATCTGAAAAATGATCAAAAAACAGTTTATAACATCAGTTTTCAAAGTGTATTGATGTTTTTGGGTGATTCGCGGCTTTATGGTATTGGTGAAACCATTCTCAAAATCGTAGTTTCCATAAAACTCGGTTTTGTTGTCCGGTAGGAGATCATTCGTAGTTTTTGGAGGCGTAAGTACCTGAATATTTCGCATTTACATCGGACTTCCACAAGGTACACTGTTAGAAATCTGTTCTTCCGTTCTTTGGAGAACATGGTGAAGAACACGAATGTGTTCTTTGAAAACTGGAGAACAGAATATATGTTCTTCAGCCTATTTTCACGTTTTTGTTCTCCAGTAGTGCTTTTGTTCTTCAAAAAATTAGTTCTTCATTTTTATAAAGAACAAAAAACGAATTCGTGTTCTTCAGAGAATATAATTTTTGTTTCCCAGCTTTCTGAAGAACATAAATCATATTTTTGTTCTTCAGAGACCAAGAATCCACAGTCCATTAAATAGTTATTCATGAAAATGTGTATATCGGCGCAAATTGAGAAGAGGCGATGATTGCGATCAAATGATAATAACGACCACCTTTTATACTGTCAAACTGAAAGAAAATATATCAGTAACTGATAGTGGTATGTACATCATCATCGATAGATTGTAATGAAACACACATACCTTTACTTTATCATCTTAGATCCGATTGCATTTCGAGCGCTTAGCATTATATTAGCATATTTTAAAGAAAGTAAACAATATATTATTGTGGACACGAAAGTAAGCGACCGATTCCAATATTGTTTTCCTCTAAAGGACTTAGGGAAAGCTTTTTGAAAGGAGAGAATAGTCTAGAAGAAATCAATAACCCTTCTATTTTGAACAAGAGCTTTTATTCTTTAGCATAGACTGTCAAAAAGACTTCAGCCGTAGAAAATCCAGCAGTTCTAGAGCTTTCAGTTCGTGCTCCAGCTAAGAAAATGCGTGATGCATGTTTTTTTGGAAACTCATTTGCTATTAAGAAGAGACAGTCGAGAATAATGAATGATGTCCTTTCTGTACTAATCCTAAAAAGAAATATAAATAACTATTGTTTGTTTACCGTTATGAGATCTAGTTCTTAAAACGAGTGGACTAATTCGAATTTTCTTACAGCACTAAAAAAATCACACCTTGCATGTAGTGAAATAACCCATGCACTATTTTTAATTTTTACATTAATGATCCAAAAGGTCTAAGAAGTTCTTGGCCGTCTATACTAGTATGTCATGATTCCGTTACTTATTTCAAAATTGGTTTAGATTCAAATCATCTTATTAGAACAGCTAATTCATTGGAAGCAGTAGTGATATGGGCAGATCTATTTCATTTGTTCAATATTGATTTTTATCAAGGGACAAAAAAAACTAATGAATTCTTTTATTTTCTTTTATTCAAAAAATTCGCGGTTAGTGGTGAAAGCGCTGTTCGAACGTTAATTAAAAAATTACAGTTAGCTTGAGAACATAGGAGGAGATTTTTAAGACACTCATGAGATTTCTCTTCTTTCGTGTGTGTTATCTATCAACCATTATTCTTAATTCTGCATGTTTGTCCGTCTGCCATTTACGGCGTTTGTGATTTCTACCTTTTTTGTTCTCTCCTCAACCATGTAGTTTAGTTGAGTTGCGGTTGATTACTTCATTGAAGATTAGATTTTTTGTGTAGTACTAGTTAGCTCAACCCTCTCTAATCTGGTGCATGCTTTTATACTAACATTTTTCTTGTATGCTGCTCACAAAGTGAGCTATTGTTTTTACTCTTTCTGACATTATTTTCTCATTTATGCCGTATTATGCTTAACTAAACCTGTTTTTCTGTTCTTATGCCAGAAACTTTTCTTATTTGGTGCATGACCTTTTCTGCTTATTAATATAACTACATTTCAACTTACTAATAAATTTTTATACCAACAAACTGATCGAACTCTTCTATGACGGTAGTTCTATATATGAACAGACAGCCACGTTCTTAAAGTAAATGGAATCACGAGAATTTGAGTTCTTCAGCCGATATTTGTGTAGAACAGATGTAAAACAAGGCGAAGAAAAAAATTATTGTTCTCTAATGAACGAAAATTATGTTCTTCAACTTTTTGGTCGGTCTTAAAAAGTGAGTTCTTCAGAGAACAATTTGTTCCCTATAGAGAACAAAAAATCTGAAGAACAAAAGTGTTGTTCTTCAGAAAGTGTGATCTTCATCTTTTGTGTTTTTCAGAGAACACAAACCTTGTTCTTCAGTTTTTTGGAAGTTCTTGAAAAACCT